CACAAGCCCGCCTGTGCTTACCTTGCTCCCGGAGACCCGGTCCCTCTCGGGAGGGTAACAAGGAAAAGTGTTCAGTGCAGATCAGTGAGTAAACACAAGAGAGTAAGGAAGCTTGTTACTTCCCCAATAAACCCCATCATCGTGAATATTGTCTATGAGTTCTCTGTGGACATTGCAATGAATTATCAAATCCAGCAGAGAAGTAGGAAGGACAGTTGGTGTCAAAATTTGGTAAAAAGGCTGGAGGGTGGTGGCATGTCTGGCCTCATAGGAATAAGTGTTGGGCTGCTGATAGTGATTCTGTCTTCCTCTTGTGAAGGTAGAGCAGGTCAGAAGATGCCTCCTTCATGTTCTTTATGCAGTGGGAGATATCTAGAGTAATTTCACTCTAACAGAATTCTTATTGAGTTGGACCTGGCATGTACAAGGTACATTAAGGAAGATAACGTGACTGGATTATAGTGAGCAAAGAAGAGTGGCAGGGGAAGGATTCAAGGAAGTCACAGGGCCAAACTCTGTAAGGCTTTGCAAGTTTGTAACCAAAATCACTGAAGGGATTTTACTTTATACTTTAGTGAATTCAAAAGCCGTTGGAGGAGTGACATGTCTTTACTTACATTATAATAGAATCATTTCAGCTGCTTTGCTGAGAATAAACTATGACTTAGGGAGTGGCATGAGATAAGGGGGGATGAAGGAATCACAAGAATCATTTGGAATACTGTAAACTTCTTTGTGACAGAAAACAGTAGTAGCAGTGAAGGGACTACAAATCATGGGATTGTATATTTATTTTGAAAGTAGAACCAACAGAGTTTGCTGACGTATTGGTTGTGAATAAGAAATGAAAAGAGTAGGGAAAACATATCAAACCAGACTCCAAATTAAAAAAAAAAAAAAAGTTTTGGACATTTAATGTATTTTTTCACCACTAACTTTGTAAAGTGACTTAGCATTTTTATTCTGAATTTTTCTTTCTATTGCTATGTGATTTAAATACTTTACAAGTAGAATAAGGAGTGCTGGTGATTTAGTGGTAAAGGAAGACATTTGGCTGCTAACCAAAAGGTCATTTTGAACGCAATTTGCTTCTATAAAGATTTACAGTCTTGGAAACCCTATGGGGCAGTTCTACTCTGTCCTAAAGGGTTGCTATGAGTCAAAATTGACACAATGGCAGTAGGTTTGGTTTTTTGGGGTATATATATGTATATAAACTTTTGACCCAGTACAACATGGTGAAAAGTATCCCTCATTTTGCAATGTTTAAAACATTTAGCTGCAAACCAAAAAGGTTGGCTATTTGAACCCACCAACTGCTTTGTGGGGAAAAGATGTGACAATCTGCTTCCGTAAAGATTACAATCTTAGAAACCCTATGGAACAGTACTTTCCCGTCCTAAAGGGCTGCTATGAGTTGGAATCCACTCCACAGCAATGAGTACCATGGTGAAGGAATTTTCAGACAGTGTTCCTGGAAAAGAAATATGATCTGATACAATGATTAAGGGAAACAAATGAGAAAATGTAAGAGCTTGGACTTCCATATGTGTGTGTGTGTGTGTGTGTGTGTGTGTGTGTGTGTATTTAATTCCATAGAACTTATATAATATTAAAGATTGAAATACAGTTATTTTATACCAGGGTTATCAGACTTTTATCTGCTTCAATCTACCCAAGAGATAACATGCATCACCCTCACCACACATCACTATAGTGTTAATTATAGGTTCATTCCTTTCTCTGCAGCTGATGCAGACAAGTCAGAGGGACTTTGCTTTAGGGATAATGTCTATTTCAGTTTACCTTTTCTTTTCATGTATGTCAGTCATTCACTAACTTCTGGAATCAAATAATCAGTAATAACATATAATGTTTAATATATTCCATGAGGATTTTTATTAAACTGATCTGTGGAAGGATCCATGCATTTACATTTCAAAAAACCTCTCAGATTTTCTGATGACACACTGAAAATACTGGGGGGAGGGGAGAAAAACAGGTTTTCCCTACATAACTTCTTTAAGTATCATGCATATTGGGCCTTGTGACATGGTCCTCACTGAGTTATGAATAATTTTAGGCATCATCAAGGGAGGCTGTCATCCTAGTAAAAAAAAAAAAAAAAAAAAAGGCCAAGGTTTACTAATTATCCACACAGGTCAGAGCTGATGTCAACAATGTTTGGTGTGTTTACCATTTTAGTCATCTTAAGACTTGTACAGTGTGTACTGCCATTGCCCCTTCCTGTTTCCAGAACAGCTCAGTTCTTTCTGAGTTTTCATTACTAAGCCAGGAATATAATGCAAGACTTTGATGGTAGAGGTGGTTGTTGGCAAACTCATTTCACATTCCTAAGTACCCAGTTCTACTTTTATCACAAGAGTATGATTCATTTCATAAGATGTCATAATAGCAAAATAGTAAGGGATTCAAGAGTAGAAGAGGTTTATAAAACAGAGATATGGCTAGTAATAGATTCAGAGGCAGAGAAAGGAGCCATGCTTTGAAATGGAAAGAGTTCCTGTCACTGGCTTCCCAACACACTGCTGCAAACCCAGGCATGATTACCTGCCTAGTTTCTGCTCTATATCCTCAGTTTAGTCTATGACTCAGGTTACATTGTCATGAGCCATATCCAGACCACCACCTAGCCAAGTAGTCAAGGCCTGGAACAAATCCTGGAACACTTTTTAATCTTCAGTTATGTACATATCCTAATCATGGTCCTTTCCTCACTTCTGTTGTCCCTCCTGCAACAGTGACGAATCAGTCCGCCATGATTCTGTGAGGATTCCCTTGGTTTTCAATCATAAATAATTAGCCCTATGGCTGTGACTCAGAGGGCTCCCTTCAGCTTTCTGTACTATGTACATGCTGATGGTTTTCTTCATCTGAGATGATTGTCTTTGTCCTGTCTAAGGCTTCATAAAACTATCTCTATTGAATCTGTTTGAATCTTGGGTCTCTTTTCTGCTATTACAATAGACAATTTTGTTCTTCAGACAGGAATTTATAACAAGTATCTTTTCACTGGAGAAAAGAGAAAGAGAGTGAAAATGCTGGACACATATGGGTCAGGCCCTTTATCGTGGGTGTCAGCGAAGTTACTGTGGCTGCAGCTGGCACTGCCTCTCCTCTGGAGCTGTGCCTCTACAGCAAACTCTTTCCTGCTTCTTGTGCAATTTCACAGAGGACAAAATTCTCCTTAATTCTGGCCCCCTTTGCATAAAAATCAAATCCAAATTCAAATGGCATCGCTTTGCAAGCAGGGTTTTGGGAGTAGAGAGCTCTTACTTTTGCAAGCAGCCCTCTCAAAATCTTTGGTGCTTCTCAGGCAGGTTTAATTATGGCAGAATACAACAATGATCAATACTTTTGTTCTAACTGGGAAGAGGCAATGTCAACAAGGGAGCGGCAATAAGGAAGCTATTTCTGAATGGTGCATGGCTTTGTATAGTCCTGGCACATGAGCCCTATGGTTCAGAGGACAGAACACACATATTGTAGTCCAATTCCAGAGCTGATTTTTCATTTAGCATTTGGATAATGAGCATTTAAACCCCACAGAGGTCTAAGTGATAAAGGCATTCATCTGGTGAAGGTGATCAATTCTAATGTAATTTGTGCAGTGAGATGACTGAGCTCCTACCTTTTGTCCCTGCACATCTGTCGTGATATGGTCAGTTCCCCAATCTTCTATCTCTCCCGTCTTCATGACACTGACTTCTATGGTGCCAACAACTTTGCCACCATCTGAAGTTCTGAAACCAAAAACAAATTGAATAGAAAGGTAAGAATCTTCTCTCTCCTTCCAGCATGTTGGGAGCATGTTTGTTTTTGAAACCACTAAAATTCCCATTTATTTCATTATCATTTAATTATACAATCTGCTTGCAACATAGTGAAACATGCTCTCAATGTTGGTATTGTTTTTAATTTCTAAAGAACATTACCATGAATTTGAAAGGTAAGAGCTTAGACTGTCAAAAACTACCCTATGAAGGTCAAAGATTCTCAGGAGTAGTCTCAAGGAAAGATCATTATATAATCGATCAACATCCTACTTTGCAACTTCAAAATTTCTATAACAGTATAAACAACAGCCCTTCTATAGCTATTGCATGGGATAGCATACATGTCTATCACAGAAAGTATAGCTGAATAAAATATAAACATCCTCTCTATGACCAGGCCATTGGCTTCAGAATCTTACTTTGTTCCATTTCTCTGGCATCATTTCTCTTTCTAAAAGACAAGATCCTCTCCTAAAAACCATAAGGAAGTTAAGGTACATGCAGAGCAGAACATAACCTTAGAGAGCATTTAGAACAATATATGACTTTCTGGGAATCCCTGAGTGGTGCAAACGATTAACATACTCTGCTGCTAACGAAATATTTGGAGGTTTGAGTTGGACCCCAAGGTGCCTCAAAAGAAAGGCCTGCTGATCTATGTGCAGGAGGCCACAGTCATGAAAACTCTGTGGAGCACCATTCTAGTCCGACGCACGTGGGGTCACTGTGAGTTGGGATCAACTCGGCAGCAACTAGTTCTTATTACTATCTTAAATAAAGAAACCGAGATTCAAGAAGATCAAAAACTCCCGTGAGGTAACAAAATGGCAAAACCAGGAACTCAGGTGTCCATCTTTTTCCAGTCTATTGGTCATTGAGCTATTCTTTGACATTTAATGATAATGATAATACCTTTATCACTAAGATTTTCATCATCCTTATTTTCATCAATACAAAAATTTTAGGGTAGACATGGTAATGACAGTTAAAATTAACAGCCATACCTCTGCTTTTTTTGGAGGAGTGAGCAAGAAAATCTACAGAATAAATGGTGCCATCATAATGCTTTTTTCCCCTTGACCTACACTGTGAAAGTAGAAACCAAGGCACTCAGGTATGATGTGTGGCTTGTAACTACTATAACTTCTATCTATTCCTAACTGACTGACTAGTAGTGGTCACATGACACTTCTGTCTTTATTTAGTCACGTTCTTTTCTGAGATTTCTATTTAACTTTAACCTGAAAACCAAAGATACTCCCTTCTAAAATGTCACTATTTTATTATTAGAAGTTAGAGGAGCTCTGGTGGCATAGTTCCTAAGGCACTTGACTGCTAACCAGAAGGCTGGCAGTTCAAACCCACCAGCCACTCCTCAGAAGGAAGGTTGGCAATCTACTTCCATAGTGATATCGCCTCGGAAATCCAAGGAGGGGTTGCTATGAGTTGGGTCCTACTCAATGGCAGTGAAGAGTAGTAGAGTAGAGGTATCAGGAAAAAAAGAAACAGGACAATTACTACAAGTTGTTTACCAAAATACTAATTAAAATAATGAATAAATCAGGTGAAAATGAAACCCAATTATGTTATTAGATCACTGCAGGTTTTTAAAATTATAACTGATACAAATTAAAGCACAACGTTTCAACTATGCTCTTAAGGAAATTGAAACAGGAAAATTCTGGTGGCAGGTAGGCGCAGGTAATGTCATAATGTAAATAAAAGAAAGATTGTTGTTGTTGTTATGTGCCATCGAGTCGGACCCAACTCAGCGACCACTCCTTGGTTTTCCTAGGCAGTATCACTATGGAAGTAGATTGCCCCATCTTCCTTCTGAGGAGTGGCCAGTGGGTTTGAACTGCCAGCCTTCTGGTTAGCAGTCAAGTGCCTTAGGCACTACACTACCAGAGCTCTTAAAGAAAGATTATGTACATAGAAAAAGAAAAGTGATCTTCTTGTTAAATAACCTATTACAATTTCTTACAAATACATAACAAATGTTCCTCTGTGATTTTAAAGGCTGTGAAAATCACAACTGATAGTTACTTGAAACTAAGAAAACTTAAACATTAATCACTATGTATAACAATATACATATATTGTGTATCTATATTATAAATACCCAAAAATATTGTATTTAAACATGAATCATAAAATATATATACATACACAGGTTACAATATGGCCTGAAATACTGGAGAAAACTATTGTTAACTCCAATTCTAGGTGCTTCTAAATAATTCATTTACTATTTTCCCACTTAAATATGACATAATAATTTGTCACAACTCACAGTGTGAGATATCATTGTACAATTATTCAGTAACTATTAAAGAAAGAGTCTAATAAAAACCCTCATTGGCAATAGTGGTAGTTCATTTCTAAAAATTTGTTGAGTTTGTTTTCTCAAAACTGATTATCAATATCAATTATAGGTCTTTGCTTCTTCTAATAGAAAAGCCTTAAAACATTTTGCTTGCAGCAAAGTGAGTTAGCTTAATTTCTAGGAATGCAATGTGTGTGAGTAACATTATTATTATTATGATTATTATTTCCTTTTTCCTGAACTAATCCAGATAATGAACCCAAGGATTTGAAATTGAAAGCAGTTTTCACTGACTTTATCAGGGTTTGTTAAAAGCATGAATTCAAGAATTGGAGGTATCCACCAGCTTCACAGCCCTGGACAATTAATTAACCACATAAAACTTAGTCTTCCTCATTTTAAATGGAGAAGAAAATAACTTTGTTCTAAGGATTAAATTAAGTGGCATGAATTATATAAAGTGCTTAGCATAGGTCCTTGCACAGAATAAGTGTTTCTTCCTTCTTCCCTTTCTCTTCATCTATTATTATTAGTAGTAGTAACAGAATTTCTATTTTCCTTAATGTACTATATTTGATTCACTCCAGAAACTTTACTGAAATAGATATCCAAGACCACAGTAAGACATTATAGAATTTTATGGCATGCACATTGCAACAGTTATTAAGTCCTCTTTGGAGATACCAACATTTAGTAACTAACTGATAGTGTTGTGAAACTTACATTTCTAACGGTGTAGAGAACACAAGTTTACAACCAGTTACAATGCAAGTCAACCTTTCAGAAGTGCTAAAGTAGATGAATAAGCAATATACTATGGTAGTGTATACTAAAATATAGCACTATCTATTCCCTTTTAAAAGTATCCAGCTACATTTTTCAATGATTTTCTGCTTTTTGGGTTCCCTGACAACCACTCTTTATCTCATACAAGCTTCCACTTAATCCCAGAATGACTCAAAGCAAGGAGCTTGCTTAGTCTTGTGACAACACAGAGACTCTAGAAGTGATGCTTTCTTTCTCTAACCATTTTATGTTAGCAGATCTCAGTACCCCAAGCATGTCTCTTCACCTGAGATTCATGACAGTCTAAATAGTGAATCTAGCATATAAGCCGAAGAACTGAATCCAAGACATCCCAAAACATGGTTCACCCTATAAATAAACTGGAATATAAAATGCAAAAGAAGTTTCCTATACATTCTGTAATAATTTACCACACACAGGGTGTGGATACATAGGCTGACTAACACATCTCTTCAATCAGGACAGTCATGATTATATGTCTATCTCATGTTTCCAAAGGCCATTTGAAAGGTAACTTTATAGAGAATGATTCTCTATAAATAATTCTTGAAATCTTACTTATACTTGTATTTATTAGCCATTAAATTTGGGATGCTCAGTCCCAACTCATGATATTTTTCCCTTGACCCACATTGTGAAAGTAGAAACCAAGGCAACCTTGGTTAGTAGAAACCCAAACGACAACTCCTCGGGTTTCCAAGGCAGTATCACTATGGAAGTAGATTGCCCAACCTTCCTTCTGAGAAGTGGCCAGTGGGTTTGCACTGCCAGTCTCTGGTTAGCAGTCAAAGGCCTTAGGCACTATTTTACCAGAGGTCCTAGTAATGCTAGTTTAATATCATTGTTAATATTTTACTGAATTGTATCTAATGGAAATTTACCATGTCCAAATGGAAGATGTTTTGAAGCCATGAAGCCAGTTCTTAGCTAGGAATCAAGAAACCAAATTCTAATTGCAGTTAAACTACTAACAATATGTGTTATCAAGGATACACCATTTTATTTCTCTGGATTTCCGTTTCCTTTAACGTAAAACAAAGAATTATTTCCTAACAGCTCTTCCATTATTTTTAGCACTCAAATCCCATGTTCTCATCACTTTGGTTCTATAATAGGCTGACAGACTCAGGAAACATCTCAGGTACATTCTACTCCATCCTTCTCATTCCCTTCTATCCAACTCACTAACCCTAAAACAAACAGAAACAAAGGCATGGGAATTAACTTAGCAGCTATCATCAATAACAAAAGGGTTGTCTTTCAAACATTATCAGTTATGGTTAATTTTGGATTGGCTAGGTTCTGGTTTCTAGTCATTAGGTCAAACACTAGTTGCTATCATGGAGTAATTACCTGTGATTAAGTCAGTTAGCTTCAGGTAGAGCAGATTACTTTATATGATGTAATCTAATGTAATGTACCCGGAAGGAAGGTTGGGCAATCCTACTTCCGTAGTGATACTGCCTCGGAAACCCAAGGAGGGGTCGCTATGAGTCGGGGCCGACTCGACGGCACATAACAACAACAACAATGTAATGTAATCAATCAATCGGTTGAAAAGAGTTGTATTCTCCCTAAATCGTATTCTGCCTCAAGATTATAAATATATAAATAGATATTTTGGTAGACCTCGCACTTCACTTTTCATGTCATACCCTTTACACCACCCAAACGATGCACATTGGGACACATGCCTGCAAGAGTTTCTAGCCTGCTGCCTGACCAACAAATTTTGGACTTTCCAGCCCCCATATATATGTATACATATACATATGCATGTGTGTGTATGTACATATTTACACACACACACACATATATACACAAATACGTATAA